AGGAGACCCTGTGGGGCCACCAGAGCCCGAGCCCCCTGCAACCGCAGGGAATTGACTAGGTGAGAGACGTCCAGATGAACCTAGCAAGCGACCCACGCCCCGAGCTGAAGGCAAAAAACTCCAAGGTCCCAGCCAATCAGCCCGGGGGAAAATTCCTTCCTGACCCCAAACCTGGCAATCAGCGTGACCCCGAGATCAGTCAGAGTAAAGTCATCCTGCTTGGGGACCCCTGGGAGAAAGGCCACTCCCTAACCCCCTAAAACGGGGCCGATTTGAGTCTGGCTATTAGCCACTTCATCACCACTGCCCCCTGCCCTGCCCCCTCTCTGTAGGCAAATGGCTGATCACCCAGGCAGCCATGAGATCCACCACTCTCCCAGCACCACCCGGACTGGTAACAGGTGACGGCAGGAAAAGGTGCATTTTCCCCTTAAAGAAACAAACAACCGAGAATTTCCCAGCACCACCCTGGAGGGCAGGAGATGGATGTGGCTGTAGAAATGGGCTAGGGTGGAGACTCCGGATGGGGAGGGCGAGCAAGCCGCAGGCTCTGCCATCTGCAACTCAGCTGGCCTCCTGCCCTGTCCCACGTGCCCGGCTCGCTCCCAGGTTGCTGAGAAGTGACCCTAATCGAGGAACAGATGCCGCCACGCCCAGGATCCTGTCCCTTTAAGGCTATCGGCACTGGCTCCAGGGCTCCAGGGGCAGGTGGGAAAAGAGAGTTGGTCTCAGATTGGAGCAGAAAGGAGGCAGGTCCAGGCTGCACAGTTTGGACTGGACCCCATAGTTCAGATCTGGGGGGTTCGAGTGAGGCCCATCTCCACCAATGGGGGAGCAAAGTGAGGGGAAGGATGGCCCAGTGGTTAAGGTGCTGGCTCTGACACAAACTCCCTGCGTGACCTTGGGAAGGTCACCTAGGGTGTGTCTACAGGGCAATTACTCCCCCGCCGCTGGCCCGTGCCAGCCGACGCAGGCTCGCAGGGCTTGGGCTCGCAGGGTTTGATTGCAGTGTAGGCATTCGGGCTCAGAGCAATCTCCAAGCCGAAAAGCCCCTTACCCTGGCCCCCGCGAGCCCGGGTCAGCTGGCACGAGCCAGCCACAGTGTCTAATGACAACATAGATGTCCCCTCGGTCTGTCTGGGCCTCGGTTCTCCATCCGTGACCCGGGGATCACGGCACTGCACTGCCCTGGCTCACAGGGATGTGAGGAGGGTAAATATACTGAAGATTGGGAGGAGCCTGGATGCCAGGGACAGGGTAATGTAGGAAGCTGCGCCGCCCCTGATGGATCAGGGCAGGACACCCCCTTGACTCCAAGCACCCATCACCCACCCTCCCGGGGTGAGCTCCCCGCCCCAAGCAATAGCCCCGTTGCGGGAGGAGCAGCCCCAACAATCCACCTGGACTCTGCCCAGCAACGATCTCCTTCGGGGGAGTTAAATATTAAACACACTGGAATATTTATAGCAACTTTTTTGTGAAGGGCGGGGGGGGGCGGAAATCAGTGGCTCAGGAGGTTGTGGGGAAAGGAAATATGAGGCTTGGGCAGAACCTAGGAGGGGTACAAGTGAGCGGGTGGGGTGAGGGGCAATCCTGGATTTGGGGGGATCCCATTAGGGGTTGGGGGAGTTCTGAGGAGACAGCCCAGATTTGGTAGATCCCTTTATGGGGTGAGGTGGGGAATCCAGGGTTCAGGCAGATCCCCCTCAGGGGTTGGAGTGGGGGGTGTTATGGGAGAAACCCTGGATTTGGGGCACCGGTAGGACCGCAGCCTGGACCAGCCGGCTCACTGGAAAACGCCTCGCAATGCACCTCGACTGCTCAGGAACGGATCCCCCTCCCCCCCAAAAGATGTGTGCCCAAAACACAAACAAGCCACCGAGGCAGCAAGTGACGAGCATCTGTCCCCGAATGCCCCATCCACCAAGCTCATTAATAAGTGAAATGATGCGGAGATTTGGCTCCGGGCCACTAAGCGCAGCAGTCGAGCGTGGTTGGGGGGCGGGGGTGAGCAGCCAGGCTGGAGTCTGTTTACTGCTCCGTGCTGCCCGCGTTCCGGGGGGTGGCACTCAGCGGATCAGACCCTTCTCCTGGACTCCTGCTACGGTAATATGAATAAAAATAATGTTTTTGGAGGCGAGGGGGTAGGGGGAGATAAACACATCTGTGTGCAAGCCAATGGGGTGGGGGAACACACGCAGCATTAGGGATGGACAGTACAGATCTGTGAGTCGGCACATGTGCGAACGCACACGCATGCACCAAGTGCCTTGGAGCAGGTAGTGACTTTGTTCTGGGTTCGTACAGCACCTCGCACAACAGGGTGCTAGTGCACGACAGGGCCTCAAGGTGCCAATGGGCAGATGTAGGCGTGCGAATGCACACACATGTAGCTGCACATGCGAATGTGTTTTTGAGTCTGGGCAGGGATGTGCCTAAGCCAGCGCCCCGGTATCTGTGTGCAGGTGTCTGAACATACAGGTCGAGTCGTGCACTAGCTCTGTCTCCACATGTGTACGTGGGTGGTAAGTGCAAGTGGGTGACAACATGTGTGCTACAGAGCCCGGGTAGACATGTGGGCACGGGTGCAGGCAAATGTGTGCCCCGCATAGAATCTCAGGGTTGGAAGGGACCTCAAGAGGTCATCTAGTCCAACCCCCTGCTCAAAGCAGGACCAATCCCCAGACAGATTTTTGCCCCAGATCCCTAAATTGCCCCCTCAAGGTTTGAACTCACAACCCTGGGTTTAGAAGGCCAATGCTCAAACCACTGAGCTATCCCTCCCGCCCCCGTGCCAAACTCTCTGGAGCCGGACTTCCACACAAGGGAAGAGCAGAGACATTTCAACGAACACAGGCTGAGAAGCAAGACCCCGCGGCTCAGCACAATGGCGTTTTGACAGTCCTGCCATTAAACGGTTAACCCAGAGGCAGTTCTGAAACAAGCAGCAGCTCTAATCTACAGGGGTCACCAGCCGGCTAAGGGGTCACATCCTCCCCGCAGTCAGTCCCCCTTGCATCTCTGGCCTGGGGAGCACAGGAGCCGCAGGCTTCCAGAGACCGAACTGAGGCCAGCGTGCAGCCGTTGCAGTAACGACATGGCTTGTGCGTGTCAACACGGCGCTGCTCGTGTCGGCGGCACGCCTCCTCACCAGGAGCGCTTGCTTCGATTGTACTGTCCGCGGGGGGCATGGTGGGACGGCTCCCGAAAGCCAGTGACAGTCCTGACGTAAGCAATGCAGCGGCACTCCAAAAAGCC